ATTATCCAGTTGGCAACTTAAACCTGAAGAATGCACAGCAATTGGAAAACGAACAGTATATGTACACAACAGAAGTTTAAATAAATTTAAGCACAAAAGCGTCCCTTGCGTACAATACATCAAGAAATATAATAAATACAACCATTTTATAATGTGGCTTTTAAGAGAGCCTGCTTACAAATATTGCAAATTAACAAATGTATGAAACAGGAAAGCCAGAAATCAATATTTTTTTAAAATTCTCTTTTTCTTTTTATTCTTTTATATGGAATGGAAAAGAAATACTAAAAATACTTTTTAGTATTTTAACTTTTATTAAATTTGTTTCATCTAGCTTTTCTTTATTTTTATCAACATACATACACACCCACACATATAAGTAACAATAAAATTATCTAAATATTAAGTTCAACATGAACACTATTATCATAAAATTAATATTTTAATGTGAATTGCAGTGCTTTTTTATTTTATATTCAACTGGATGAAAAGTTAAATACTCTTACATTTGTAACATTGATATCCTGGCAATTAATACTGATGTAAGTTTTACTTTTATCTTTTTTTAGTTTAATACCTTGTGTGATTTAAATAACAGAATGTTAATTTTTTATCATGTTATATAAATATCACTGTATTATAATCTGCATTGAAATGTTACAATATATCCAGATTTATAACATTACAATAAAAAGGGAGGTGGGAGAAGAAAAAGGATGGAAGACTTTAGTAGAAAAACAAAAGTAATAACAACAACAACAACAACAATAATAATAATAAGGTTGGAAGGGACCTTGGAGGTCATCTAGTCCAACCCCCTGCTCAGACAGGAAACCCTATACCATTTCGGACAAAGTGGAAGACTAATTTTGTCCCTGTACTGTAGAACTAACAAAAAATGATAACAGTATCTTCTAGGGTTTGGTTTTTTTGTTTTGGGGGGGTTTTGCATTAGAGGCAACACTATCATCAATCACATCTATGAAGAAATATTGTACATAATGCTGTACGCTGGGAAGCAACATTTCAAACTGGTATCATTTTGCAGTATTTCTTTTTTTAAAAAAAATAAATTTTATTGGTTTTTTCTTAAAGCAACATATTCAGGACACACTGTGGTGTTGGGGTAATCAAACATCTTAAAACAAGACATATATACATAATATAATCAATACATCAAATATTCCCTTCTTTTTCCCTCAAATAGCATAATATATTTAGAATATCCAATTCTAGCTTAAATTTATTCAACTTGAACCTGTTTTAAAGCTTCATAAATTTCTACCATAACCAAATTAACTTTAAATAAAAACATTTTCAATTCAAATATCCCTTCCACATATGTTCTACTTTCTTAATTTTATCAAAATCTTATTTGTTTCTTCTTCCATTACTCTCCCTTATTTAGAGTAAAATATTAATCTATCCTGTACCTATCAAATCTATCAATGGATCTATCTCTTCAAGCTAAAAAAAATAATATCATACCTTAAATCATGTCATTCTATTAAACAAAATTCAAATCTCCAATTAATTATCATGACTAATAACGTCCATATCATCAGAAATTCATATCATCTTATTAAATTTCAATTAACTACTAGTTCACTTCAAATCTGAAACATCTCTTCAATTTTCGTCATTCCATTACATCATAATTTTCATAGAAATAAACCTAACATTCTAAAAGGAATATTCCTAATATTCTAAATTATCTTTAATCCCTTATATAGAAAGATATCTCGTTTTTAAACAAAAATATTAATCTATTCTAGACACACCTAAATGTATGTATTTATCAAACTATTCTATAGATATCTAATCCTTCAATTAACAAATTAATATCAAACCTTAAATCATTTCAATCCTTTAAGTAAAGTTTAAATTTCACATGTTATAGGACAAATAAGTCGTCTTATTTAATTAACTTTCAATTAATTATTGATTCACTCCAACTCTAAGACATCTTTTTACTTCAAACTCAAAATCTCAGTCCTTACATCAGTCCATAGTTCTAGGTTGCCTTTAATCCAATTTAAGAAATTTTAAATTTCATTTTTCAATCTTATTCTAGCTTTCCTCTTTTGCCAGGTAGGTTTCCATAACAGGGCTTCCCTTCCAGATAATAGGTCTCTTTTTGTTGCTTGTAGTGTCACTTGATTCGATACCAACCATCTTGATCTCTGATTTAATCCTCTGTTTCTCTTGTCCATAAAGCCTCGTTGCTTCAGAAGTCCAAAGTTCGGTCTTTGCTTTTCCTGGTCTTGCTTGTAAGGCAAAATAAGATTCTCCTTATCCTCAGTAAAAACCTCTTCTTGTATAATCTGTTTGTAGAGTAGTCAAGTGTAGTCTGGGAGTCAGTTTTAAGTTTTAAAGTAGAGATTCTGGCTCTTAGTTCTGTAGTAGCCTCTTTTATTGTAGTACATATTTCTTCTTTAGCCTCATAGACCTTTTCCAGTATAAGTTTACAGTTTAAGTGTGATTAGGCTTCTCCATTTTAGCAATAGTTGAAGAAGAGTCCTTTTCCTTTTAGTGAAGGTTACAGTTGAACATTATCCACCCCCACAGATCACACAGCTAGCTCAAATTATCTTTTTTCTTGAAAAACAGTTTGAAGGCCAAAGCTCTCTCATCTCCAAATAAACAACAATCCAATATTAACTTTTGACCAGTAGGTGTCCTCAGTGAGCTAAAAAAACCTTCTCCAAATGCCAGTTTTTTCACTTTTTTCTATCTTTTAAAGGGAGAATAGAAAAAGAAATACTCTGCCGATATAATACCGCTCCAAAAAACACAAAAAACAGTTTTTTTGACAGCACAATGTAAGTAGGAATAGAGTATAGTCTTTAAATGAATATTTATTTGTTTTTTCTGTCCTTTTTGTAAAACATGTTTGTTCCCACGATTACTAAAGCTGCTTTCTCCAAATGGGGAAATGATAGCACAAACAACTTCTATAGGCAAAAACAGCAGGGGTATGGAGAGGAACAAAAGGGATCTCACCTGGATCATCCGTGGTGGATCGTTAACGCTTAGATGACGATGTGACTTTTGGTTGGTGCAGCAGGGTGATCGGCCATCTTAAAGGCCGATCTTTGCTCCGTCGGCCCTAAGAAGAAGCTGGAGATTTGGGGGAAGCTGCTTCCTTCCCCTATCTACCAGCCGCCCTCCTCCTCAGTGGTCGCCCCTCCAAGGCGACTTTTGACCCCCTAGGGGGTCTACCGGCGAAGGAAACTCCAGACGGCCTGGAGAGAAATTTCCAGGCGCGACTGGCGTTGCCGTGTTCCGGAACCGGAAGTCACTTTGCAGTATATCTTAATGTGGTTCAATATATTGCATTAGATTTTAGCACATAATTCTGCTGTGTGTTTACACCACACCAACAAAAGACTTACTGACCTCTTTTGCAAAAGAGCTTTCAGCTTTCACATCTCACCCACGCTAAATTTTACCATAATTACTCATAATCACGGGAAAAATGTTGCCAACATCAATGCAGGAGAAGGAACATTTGTAGGAAGAAATACAGGGCTTAACCTATGACTTAATCTACCAATTCTTCTCTCTATATGCCTCACCTATACAATTTTAAATAATTTTTCTCTCCTGTCTCTAATATTCTGAGCGAGATTAATTTTATTTCTGTGTGTGTCTGTGTGTGTGTGTGTGTGTGTGTGTGTATGTGCATGTACAGGAAACTGACTGATATACAGAAATTTAATTCTGCACACATTTTTTTTTCTGAAAATCAAATATATTCATATCAGAAAAAATATTTTTAATTATAATCAGAGGTTCAAAGCCCGCTTTTTGAGCTAAGAATGAATTATTTCTCTTGTTTCAAATTGCAGAAAACTCCAGACATGAAGGATAATTCAGAGTATATCAGAAAGAAAGATCTTGGTGTACCTTTATTTTAGCTCTCTAGGTACCAGCTTATGGTGTTTAAAGTTGAAGCCTATCAGACTACATCTCCAGTCTTTCTTAACTGTCCAGATTACTGGTGAGTTGAAAATGCCGAGAACAGCCAAAATATAACTCAGTTTTTAATGTAACTTGGAATTGCCTTTGAAGAATTATTTGGAAACTATTGTTGGCCCAAAATGTATCAGTTCACTTACTGGTTGGTAAGGGCTTCTTTAACAGGATTCTACCTATATTATGAGTTTTGCACTGGTTACCAATAGATTTTTCAATACAATTCAAAATATAAGTTTTAATTTTTATAGCTCTACATGGCTTGTCTTCCGGCTACATTAGAAATCTTCAACCTAAATCTGACCTTCCTCTGTGCTCCATCCTAGAGGGGTTGTTGGGTTCAGCTCATTCTATTTATTCTGCTTAATTCAATGGTGAGCCCACAACTGGAGTCTAATTTAGCATATAGGCTCACAAGAGAAGACAAGCTGCATGGAAAACAAATATTCTGTCAAATTGAGGATTTATTTTATTCAGTTAGCCATCTTCATGAAGTTTCTGCTTCAAAAGCATACTCTAATTTTGTTTTGGGAATTGCTCTGAATGAAAATAACTTGATTATTAAGTGCATTTTTACTGAGGGCCTGGAGAGGGTTACTCTTTGGTAGCAGATACAGAGAGAGAATGGGTTGCTATGGGAACAGCACTGTCACCACGGTCTCTTTCTTGATTTCACTGAAAACAGCTAATCTATAATAGTATAAACAAGGAAGAATCCTCCCAATGAGATGCAAGCTTAAATGAGAAGTTCTAAACTCCAGGAAAGAAGCAAAATCCTCTGAATAGAAACTATCATGCCTCTCACAAGTAAGCTCAAATTGGGCCAGTAACTTTCTCAGAGATGGGCCCAGTAAATTTGATGCAAAAATAGTTCTGCCATGCACATTCATATGTACCTACATACAAATCTAGAAATAAAAAACTAAGAAAATAGATTGTCTTAAATTCAAGTTTTGAATTTCTTAGATGGATATAAGCCAGAAACAAAGTAGAAGCTACAGATGGAACTCTTTGATTCTTACCTGCTGCTGACTTTGTTCCTCAAGGTTGAGCTTGACCTCCAGAGATTGCCGAGCTTCTAGGAAGGCTTTGCGGTGCTTGCGGTCTGCCATGTAGTAAGACATGATACCCACACAGATAGTGCACATATAGATGGCAACATTGGATAAGATCTTGAATGAAAAAGGGATAAATTACAGTTATCGGTCATTCCAAGAGAAATATTTATATAGAAATAGAGTAGGTTATATATAGGTGGCCTTCCAAACTCTGACGAATGGTAACTCCCATTAATCTTCTGCATTAGTCATATTGAAATACACTGCTCATTCCTTCTCCAAAATATTGAGGTATGGAAGATGAGGCAATTGAGCTTCCTTTCTTATCCATATGAGAGACTGCTATTGATTATAGCATCCCCCTATTACCATATTGCAGTGAAAGCAATCTTTAGACTACAACTCCCATAACATTCAGTCAGCATTTAAGGGCCACAGCTTCAATAAGTCTGACCCAAAAAGCCTGAAAGATTTCAGGTTGCTCACCTCTAGTGCAGGGGTCCCTGACCCCCGGTCCGTGGATCAGTACTGGGCCATGGCCTGCCATCAACTGGTCCACATAAACAAGCAAAGCCCCATCCGCAGGATGCAGGCAGCACACAAAACCACGCACCCTCCTGTCCATGGAAAAACCTCTTTCCATGGAACCAGTCCCTGGTGCCCAAAAGGTTGGTGATCTAGTGGACTACATAGATAATAGAAGGATTTCAACTCACATTCAGGATTGGGAAGAATTAACCTGAATTTTAAAAAGCATGACATGTTTATTAAATTGCTTTATTCTGAATAAATCCAATTTTGAAATATCTGAATGAAATATCTGAAATATCTCCCTATCTAAACCTCTTTATATCATACTAGACTTAAGATATTCTGCCTACAAAATACAATCTCTACCATCAATTAATGTCCAGACTCTCCATCCAGTAAAGTAGATTCTATATTCTAAATATGGCATCACCAGTGTGGTATAAGCAATACTACCACTTCCTGTGATCTTGATACTATCCCTCTGCTGATGCAACCTAGGATTGTGTTGGCTTTTCTGGCAGCTGCAGCACACTGCTAACTCATATTTAAATATGGTCCACCAGCACACTTAGATCCCTCTCTTAGGCACTACCTTTGAGCCAGGTATGGCCTATCTGTACTTGTGCTTCTGGTTTTTCTTGCCTAAGTGTAGAATTTTATTTTTCTTACCACTTATCACTAGATGAATTGCATCTAATATGTCAAGATCCTTCTGAATCTCGAATCTATCTTCCAAAATGTTAGCAATCTCCCCCAGCTTTATGTCAACTGCAAATCTGATATACATCCTTCAATCCCTTCATCTAGGTCATTTATGAAGATGTTGAAGAGCACTGAGCCCATGACAGAACCTTGAGCAATCCTACTACATACTTCCCACAATATAAATGTAGTTCCATTCAGTGCAATCAACTGCAGATCCATCTGGCAGTGGTACACAGTCTATCCTGCATTGTTGTATCTTTCCAAGAAGTAGGCTGTGTCTACTTTATTAAACGCCTTACTGAAATGTAAGCATTCTGTATCCATGTCTATGGAAATTCTCAGTTATCCAGGTTATGGTTGTTCCAAAGGAGAACTACCTTTTTCAAAAGGCAACTGGACTTTCTGTGTTTTTTCTGTTGAAAACACTTTGCTTCTCATTCAAGAAGCATCTTCAGTTCAGATGCTTCTTGGATGAGAAACAAAACAAAAAAAGATTATTTCACACAAAAGGAACAATACACAATACAAGGATGGAGGGGAAAAGCAGGAGTACAAAAAGCAGCAAAATAAGTGTTTTGCTGCTTTTAAATATGCATTAATATGTTTAATATGTATATAAATAGAGCTATTTATATAATATCGAAAGAGAGGAATAGCTATACATCTCATTTTTAAAAATATTGGTTGTTTTTCTATCTAGCACTTACATATTCGAAACACAGAATGCAAAGCTGTTCCAAGCAATTATCAAAGACTTGGACAGATGTCAATCAATGGTTCAAAGCATATATGATCATCTCAGGCTAACATAACAACTAGCAGGCTTTCAAACAGTGACTGATAAGTGAACATTAATTTGGGGTAGGACAGTACAGGTACCGTATATGCCGGTGTATAAGCGACTTCCGCAAGCGCTAAGCTCGGCACCAAAGACGGGGGTCGTCTTATACGCCGAGTCGTCTTATACACCAGAAATACTGGTAGTTTCCGGCGTATAAGACGATGTTCTAGGAATGTGGCTCGGCGACAAAGACGGGGGTCGTCTTATACGCCGGGTCGCTTTGTACGCCGGCATATACGGTAGTCCTCCACTTACAACCATTTGCTTAGTAATCGCTTAAAGTTACAACAGCACTGAAAAAAATGACTTATGATTGTTTTTTATACGATCATTGCAGCATTCCCATGGTCATGTGAATTCAGAAACTTAGCAACTTGCATGTATTTATGACAGTTGCAGTGACATGGGGTCATGTGATTACCTTTTGCAACATTCTGACAAGTAAAGTCAATGGGAGAAGCTAGATTCACTTAACAACTGTGGTACTAACTTAACAACTGCAGTGATTCACTTAAGAACTGTGACAAGAAAGGTGGTAAATTGGGGCAAAGCTCACTTAACAACAGAAATTTTGGGCTCAATTGTAGTCATATGTTGAGGACTACCTGTAGCAAGAACTTGAATTGCTACTATGACTATAAAATCTGTCTAAACTTTGCAGTTTAATATACTAATCACATGAAAGTAAGTTTTAGCACATACTTCTATTATAAGTCAATCTACTAAAGCAATGTTTCCCAAACTTGACAATTTTAAGGCATGTGGACTTCAACTCCCAGAATTCCATAGCCAGCGTTGCTGGCTGTGGAATTCTGGGAGTTGAAGTCCTCATGCCTTAAAATTGTCAAGTTTGGGAAACACTGTAAAAGGCACAAGAATACAGTTTAGGGAAAATGTCTCTCCCTGGGGAGAGCATAACTCAACACTTCTTTAATAAACCCTGTGTCCCACAGTATGCTAAGCTGCTTCCATATAAATCTTTCAACCTACAATAGTAATTTCATAGAGCATCCAGTCAAATTTGTAATCTTTAGCCATTAAGCCTTCTTCCCTATCATCTTTCTTGATGGGAATAATCTATTTATTTAAAAAGGCATTGTGAATCTGAGAATCTTATTTCAGCTTAAAATTCATATAAATAGAAAGCTAAATATTCCACTGAGTCTAAATGTCATAAAAAATAAGTATCAGTTCAAGATTGGTAATATTTTTAGAGCTTTCCTAAGCCAAGTTATTTCAGGCATATTGATTAGGTATTAGGGTATTATGGTAAGGACAAACACCTAAATTTCCTTTATTTAAACTGAGACTATCATATAGAAATGGGGGAGATATAAATTTCCAGATTATTGGGTTTGTTATATTTTGATATCAATGTTTCTCTGCAGTACAGTTTCATCTCAATTCTCCCAATAGACATACACTCTGAGGATAATCCTTATTTGAAACTAACAGGTAAATCACATAGACCTACATAATACTTTAGATCAGTTTATTGCTAATCATTTTTTAAACAAACTGAAATATTGCAAGATATTTTAGGATTGCCTAAAATTACAAAATGGCAGTACATTTTGTACAGTACATGTTAAAATGTCTCTTCATTTTACAAATTAGTGTAGATGGATTAGCAACATCTAACAATGCCAAATTAGTATCAGTACTGAAATGTTTTGGATTATTCTAAATCTAGAGTTATAATAAAAAAACAGCTCAATATCCCATCTTGCCTGAGATTAAGCCCTCATCCAGGACTCCAGCCAACTCTTTCCAAAGACTCCCAAAACCATTCCCAGCCCATATCTGACAGAATCCTCCTTTTTTCCTTTATTGGACCAAAAAGGTGAGGTGACTCCATCTGGGCACATCAGACTGGCTTTGATTTAAAGGGTCAGCTTGGTAATCTAATTGTTATAGAAGTGAGTGAAAAATGTGTGTGAAGGTATTATATATATCAATAGAATTCCACAATGTCAAAATGCTACATTCTAAAATTAGGTCTGCACTTCATGTGAACTAAATGAATATTTTTTCCCACATATGTATTATATATATGGACAGTCAACTATCAGGGATGCTTTAATTTGAATTCCTGAACCTGCAACAGATTTGAGCTAATGCCCTAAATGGCCCCTTCCAATTCTATGATTGTATGCTTTTTTAAAACCAGTTTCTGAAGAGGGCAGAGCAGTTGCCAAACTTTAAGGGCAACATTTACAACTGTTACTAGGGACAATTCCAATACACATTACTAATTTGCCTCAGCTAATGTCATAAATTATTTTATTCTGCCTTAGTAAGATCCCACCTCAAGTACTGTGTTCAGTTCTAGGCACCACATACTTAAAGAGAAAATGGAACAAATTCACAGAAAGACAACCAAGATGATTGAGGAACTAGAAACTAAGCTCTGAAAAGAGAGGTTAGAGATAATAGGTATGTTTAGCCTTAAAAGAAAAACGAAAGAGAGGCTGTCACAGCATTTTACAAATAACTGAAAAGATATCCTATAGAATCCTATATTAGGACTTATTTTCTACCATTCCAGAGTGCAGAATACCGAATAATAGATCTCAGTTACAGGAAGGCAGAGTCGGACTGAATGTTAAAAACAAAGTCCTACTAGTAAGAGCAGTTCAACTAAAGACAGGTTCTTTTTCATTGATCCTGTACAAGCAGAGGCTAGAAAGCCTTCTATCCAAGATGCAGTAAAACTAACAAATAATTTAGATTCCTGCACATACAACAAGAGAAAAAAATCAATGGCCTTACTGGCACCTTCTAACTTGATAATTCTATGTTGCATTAGCAACAGTTCCTCTACCAGCAAAAATCCTGTTATTGTATAAAAGTGAACATTATGATAGAGAACTCAGGAAATGGCAATGAATACTTGGAATTCTGGGCCTCTAACTTTTTTTTTCTTTTGCAATTTTTATGCCCTTAAAGTACTTGGAAGTCACATTTCAAAAAATCAAGGGTAAAACTACCTAAACACAAATTCTGTTTTAAGATATTTTGCATATAATTGAAATTA